GAAATGGATTACATCACAATTATTTGTGTCGAAAGTTGAAGTTGTTAGATCCATTCCAAAGTTGATATTGTGTGTATATATATATATATATATATATATATATATTCTACCATTCTTAACTTGGAATGTATCAAATAAATAACAAAATATAACATGAAAATTGAAGTGTTGTTGGTGCATAATAACTTCGTGTTGCGTGTGATATTTGCATTTTGGGCTTGCTCTTGGGCTTAAAATGATGTAGGCTGGTAATGAAATTGAAAAGGGTCGTAATCAGAAAGACTAGAATAAGTGTCATGATGCAAAAGCAGTGGACTGAAGTGCTATATATTCATCCATACAATGCCTCGGTCATTTTTTACAATCATTTTTGCAGTGAGATCATACTTTCAGAGAGACGATTCTCTAATACATTATGGTTTCGTTTTCGTTTGCAGTTAATCTCAACTTATTCTATGTAGATCCTTACTTTGTTTTTTGATTAGTTCTTTCTTTGTTTGTATTTTTGCATATCTTTCTCAAATGTTTTCTATAACAAGTAATTATAAACTTGATTCAGTTTTGCTGTTTCAACGTTTGAGTCGTTTGTTGTTTAGATATATAAATTTCTAGTACCAGTGTTAAACAAATCACGGATTTACATTTTGTCACACTTTCCGCCATTGTGACTTGTGAGCCTCAAGGAATAGACCTCATCATTCTCCCTTTAAGATATGGCTTTAGACTCCATATTTATAAATTTTTTGAAAAGGGTGTGTGTATTATTCCCAAGCTAAATAATCATTATTTAAAAAAAGAACTAAATAAACAAATATTCATAAGAAATGGAGAAGCGTTCAACGAATAATTTATGAATCATTTGGCAGGAAATTTGTTTATGTTATTTATTTAATAAATAAATAAATTAAATGAATGAGCATGAATACAAATTTTGTGTTCTTTTAGTTAAATGAACGAACATGAACAATGATCTCATTCGTTCAGTTATATTCGTGAACGTTCATGATGTTTGCTTATATGCCGATTCATACAAGCATATTAAGCACCTACTTCCATTAAGTGCTTAATACTTGATGTTCTAACATCCAATATCAGATCCGAGCTCATTAAGACATCCTAGGGCATAAAGTTGGCAAATTTATGCCCTTGCATGCTATATGGGACTTCAAAACTTCATATTCACATTAGGACTTCGTATGAAGCTTTAAACTCATGCATGGAGTCTAGATAACCTTCAAGCTAGCACCTTTATGCATCTAGCATGCTCACAAAGCTCAGATCTAACCATTTCACTAACTTCTTCTTCTTAAATAAGCTCCAAAATGGCCACCAACACACTTATATACTCCAAAATCACACTCTCAAAGGAAAACTGAGGTAAAGGGACGAAATGAGGCTCTAGAGGCGGATTAGGGTTTAGTCCTAATGACTTAAGGATGCTTAAATAGATGTCAAGTCCAAAAATTAGGGTTTTGGTCTTCTATCTCGTTCACAATACTCCTTCGCGATCCTTCCTCCATAGTACGCTAAGCGCACCATTAGGTACGCCCAACGTACAAAAAGGGACCATTTTTGCCAACTAAATCATTTAAAAGGGTTAGAATGGTTTACCTGATTTGGAGTGTTACATTATGACGAGAAAATTGCTTCCTTAAAGGTCTGTAGAAGAAGGGCTTTCTCAACGAGCTTAATGTAGTGCGAATCCAGAAGCACGAGTTTGAATTGATTCAGGTAGAGCTAGATTTGGTGTGTTGTTGAGGTATCTCAGTTGCATTGATGGATGCAAGTGGTATGAGATACAATATGAAGAAGAAGATCCCGCCCAATGCACTTTAGATCTGAAAATCCATGGTGCTAATCTGTGTATCAAGATTGAAGACAATAATGGGGAATATGAGGCTGCTTGTATGTATTAAGAGGCTGCCTATATTCATTTATTTAGAACTAAGGGCAATATTGTCAATTAGGTTGTTATTTTTAACTTTAATGATTTTAAAATGGTAAAAAAATATTATAAATCAATGAAAATTATCAAAGAAAAAAGATTTGGGTATATATGATATTAACAAATATTAAGAAGAACAAATATGATATTTAAAGTTTCGGTCGGACAAATACGATATTTGGTTGTTTAGCAAAGACATATATGAAATTGTGCCTATATTCATTTATTTATGTTAGTTTATTATATTATATTATACAATTAATGGGTGGAAGTGATGTTTTTTTAGTATGGTTCAAGTTTTGCAACTTATTGATTTGGTAGATTTAGTACAAACAACATATTAGAAGTGTTGATATCAAGTTTTATGATTTTTTATATGAATTTCTATGTTGATTTATATATTTTATGTTTGTTAATTTATGATCGTTATGTTCGTTCATTTATCATCTTAAAGAACATAAATGAATGGACACGAACAAGGTAGTTTATTAAACGAATGAACTTGAACAAGAAATTCCATTCATTTTATCATTTTGTGTTCATTTGTTTGTTTAGTTAACTCAAATGAACGAACATCAACAAATCATTGTTCATGTTACCTTCATTTGGTTTGTGTACGGCCTTTTTGACTAATATTGCAAAAATCAACCTATTTGTGGGGACAAAAAACAATTTCATAATATGGAATAACAAACAAATAAATAATAATAATTTGACAAAAGTAAGATAAGGATAAAATAATTATTTTACAATGATTTGTTACAAGTACCGAAACAAACCAAACCACGATATGTGAAAAAAAAAATCAAAGACGATAGAAAACACATGAACAATGAGTTAATGTAATTTAGAATCAAAAAGATACCATAAAATCAGAATTATAACAAAAAAATAATTTTTTTGTTCATTTTAAAAAATAACAAAAGTTATTTTGTATATTTTAAAGCATCCGTGTTAATATTTATGATTATATAAGTAAAACAAATCTATAGTTATAAAGGTAAATACCATAAGAAGTCATTAAGTTTATATGAAAATTTGATTTTGACACTGCATTATTTTTTTGTCTGAAATTAGATAATGTATTTTTAATTTGTTATAATTCTGACTACTTGACCGGTCAACTTAGTTGTCTGCTGACATGACATAATGATATGTCTGTTCTGATGACATGACATGCTGACTTATCAAAATTGAAAAGAAAACACACACACACACAAAAGCACTAAGTTTTTATCTTTTTTCAATTTTGATACTAAATTAAAAAAAAAAAATTCAATTTTGACATTCTATTTTTTGTTACAAGTTGAACATTATTTTTTTCAATTTTGTTCAATGTTGGCCATTTTTTATTTGAAGCTATATAAATAATTTTTTGATATTTGAAACTATATAAATACATTTTTTTCATTTAAAACCACATTTTTTTTATATAAAAATACAAAAAAAAAAATTTACATTCAAACCATAACGTTGTGTATAATTATGTATTAGTTTTATTATAACTATATTTTTCATTAAATACACAACTTTAAAATGAGTTTGAAGGTCGGAACGTACAGTCAAATAAACTAATGTTATATCGGAAACATGAAGGTACGGAGGTCGCTTTAATTACCAAGGAATCATTCGTCGTATAAGCTAAATACACCAACTTTATAGATAACAAGTTAAATATGAAATAATTATATTATAACAGTATTATAGTATAACCGTATTTCTCATGCATTATTATTATTTTATAATTTTTCCAACAAATCTAAAAATATATCTGCAAGAACCAAAAATCATAAATTTATACAACAAACGGTCCATTGGTAATTAAAACGACCCTCGAACCTTGGTATTCTCAATATCACATTAACTTATCTAAGTGTGGATTCCAAGCATCCAAATTTATTTAAAGTTATGTATTTAATAAAAAAAATATTGTTATATATAATTAACACATATTTATACATACATTATGGTTTGAATGTAAAAAACTTTGTATTTATACAAAAAACATATGGTTTTAAAATGAACAAAATGTATTTATATCATTTCAAATGTATAAAAAAAAAATTATTTATACAGTTTCTAATGGTAAATAGTCAAAAGTGAATAGAGTTAGAAAAAATGATGTTAGATTTGGAACAAAAAAATAATATCAAAATTGAAAATAATAATAATAATATAAAATGAAAATTTAGTGTCTTTTGTATAAAAAAAAAATCAATTTTGACACACAACATATCATACCAGCATGTTTAAAAAAAATAAAAAAATTAAAAAAAATTGACACGTCAGCAATCAATCTAGTTTACCGGCCAAACGGTCGGAACTAGAACAAATTGGAAACGCAACGTCTAATTTGAGACAAAAAAAATAACGCAATGTCAAAATAGTGTCTTTTGTGTAAAAAAATTGCAATTTTGACACATCGGCAAAAATTGACACATCATCATATCACGTCAGTAGGCAACCGAGTTGATCGGTCAAGTTGTCAGAATTTTAACATATCAGAAACGCAGTGTCCAATTTAAGACAAAAAATAACACGGTGTCAAAATTAAACGTTCATATAAACTTAGTGACTTTTGCGGTATTTAAACCATGGTATATCATTCCATTCCATCATCAAAAAATAAATAAATAAATAAATAATAAAAAAAAAGAAAAAACTCTACGCCTTAGAAAAAAAATCAACCTACAAGAAGGTATCCATTCCAATTCAACTCCTAAACATAAGTTTTTCATTCCATCCTTAATTCCATTCACTCTTCAAACTAGATACTAAACTTTGCGTTACTTTTCAATATGCATATAGGAATTAATCAAAGCCCACTACCCAAGGAAACGAATCATTCAAAACACAGTCCCCTAAGGAAACAAATTAGTCAAAACTCAAAACTCAAATTCGTCAAAACTCAATAGTCAAAAAAATCGGCAAGCCTAAACTTTTGTTATATAGTTCTATGCTAATTTCTAAACATTCAAAACTCATACCTCTCTCTTCTAATACCCAAAAAAAACAATCATCACAAAAACAGAGAAATGGAGACCCGACATGCTGGTCAGAGACTACCCATTGCCACCACCGAACCTCCTACCACCACCACATCAGCCGGAGGCATCACCACACCTAAATACACCCGACCACACCCAAAATCTAGTTTCCATAGTATTTTGTTGAACATCATCTTGGGTTTTATATAATCATGTGATTAGACTTCCGATGAAATCACCACACCTAGAGCCCAGAATTTTTATTTTTATTTTTATTTTTATTTATTGGTTGTTCAAGCATGTGTACTCTTTATATAAGCATAAGATTTGTAAAACATATGTATGCATAGTGCTTTTTATTACGCTAGAAAAATACTTTATGCACAAACTAGGTATAAGTGGCCCTTTCTTTTTTAATTACCAGACTTAATGGGTTCAGCTCTCAATGTGAATAGATATATGGGGATGTTTCTTTTTGACTTAATGCTAACAGAAAAGGTCTTAATATGTTAAGTCAAAAATGGTCGCTTCAAGAGTTCAGACATCCTATATTCCAACAACACTATGATTAAGTAACTATTATGTTGTAATATTAAGATCAGATACACAGTGATTGATTTATAACAGGCTTTAATAAACACTTTTCATAGACGGATAAAACAGACATTTACTCAGAACCATCTTTATATAAACAACACTTTATGTCTTTATCCATTCAGACATCTTTACTCATTCCACCTGTATAGGACTTAATGAGGGAAAAAGAAACATACCCTAATACTTGAATTCAATAATTCGCAAATTAGATACAATATTACTTAATGATAAAAAGAAGCAGATAATCAGATACATAGTTATAACCTGCATCTAATTATACAACAAAACACTTGAACACAATTCACATAACATCATCTAACATCATAAAGATCAAGGTTGAAAGATTTTATCACCACATTTACATTTCCACGAAAGGAGATAGTAATTATCTTCCCAATGAGAAGAATCAATGAATTTAGAATGTGGAGGAATAACCAAAGTAGCCTCACATGGTCTGCAATTCACACACTTGTTCACACACCCAGGTGGCCTTGATCCTAAAATTTTCTTGTTTTCTCCCACACTTGATTCATCATCAACTGCCAATTAACCCACAAAATTAACCTAGAATCAACAAAAAGCTACTAAAGATCAAAAACCCATTTGGATTTCTCTATTGTAAACAACTAAAGATAGTTTTTTTTTGGGGGGTTACCTGATATGGAAAGTGATAATGTGAGAGATAAGAGAAAAAGGACTATAACAAACACCCTGAGGCTAAAAGAATAGGTCCTTGCAGATGCCATCAATAGTTAACAACTTGAAGGCTTTGGTAGACTAACAGTGGATATAAATAGAAGTGGGAGAGATTAATGATGAAGGGAAGAGGGGCATGTGAGGAATTAATAATACATGGTCGTGCATGCAGTACTGTATACCGAAACAGTGGAAATTAAAAGGGTGATCTTCAGGGGATTGGGTTACTATTTGAAGGTGGAAAAGAACAAAAAAAAAGAAAAAGAAAAAGAAAAAAAAAAAAAAAGGAGAACATTTTTGATAGAGAAGTCAAATAAATGTTTGGAGAAGAAGGGACAGGTTTCCTAATGTGAATTGATTCGATGAGTGTATTGAAATTTTAAGTCTCTCAAACTCATATTCTTTTTTTTTTTTTTTTTTTTTTTTAATCTTTTCCTATTACACTATTCTTTCTACCTGTTTTTGGGAAAACGTTGCAATTTGATCTGACTAATTTATTAAATCTTGAGCCATTGTTTCTTGAATTACCAACATTATCATTGTGATCTGGAATAGTTTTTTTGTCTTTTGTTTTCTTGTGGAGTGGTCAAACGACTGTTATCATGCTGCATTTAATGATGACCCAAATTATTTATTGAGTTTCATCAGCAAATACTGTAAATGTCTTATGGAAAATCTTGAAATTAAGGTCGATTGTACCATTGGTCCAGAAAAGCACATACCCCAAAAATCATTCTTTGATTACTTCCAAGAGATCTATGTTCATAGCATTAAGAATACATAAATGAAGCATAAGGAAACTTGAATAATTGGAATATATGGTTATGATATGAAGAAGATGCTACATTCAACATAATTATTGAGAGGAAAGTCAGATTCTTATGTTGATTGGGTTTGACGACAAGAATGAAGTTTATCAAAACCGGGCCATAGAATTAAATTCGTAGCGTCATATCATCAAACAGTTGATGTGCACAATTTTGTCCATCTCTTTCTCTGTTCATCTTTTGACCTTTTCTTGGCGATGCAAACAGTTTTTCCCGTTACTCTATCAAACATCATAAGAGTTCAATAAATGTCACATGCAGTGATTCGAACCAAAAAAGTAAAAGCCTCAGGACAACCCATCGCCACAATTGTAAGAGATTTGCCACTTTTAGAATTCAAGAAAATTTTAATGCCAATCATCCATTTTTTATTCGAAAATACTCTCTTATGATACTTTGTTGAACAGTATTCTCAAAAAGAGGTTCACCTGCTCCGACTGAAATGGGTGCCCCTTAAACCATAAAAAAGTCTTCTTTCTTCCATTGATAAGACCTTCCATTGTTCTCGTTTGTCTGCATGTCACTAGAAAGGGAAAACATAAATAGACATGTATTTTGATGTTGCTGTTCATATCATGCGCATAAAGTCATTAATTTCCAGCAAAAGAGGTTTAACTGATATGGCAATGGCATACGACACAAGTATTTTCCGGCCGGGTTTGTGTACAATCTCATGTACAAAGTCGATGAACAGATTGAGAGGGCGGAGTTAGAGAAAAATTCAACGAGACAGCTGATGTTTGTAGTCACAGCTGAAGGTACGTGTATGGTGGTTGACTGGTTGTGGCAAGCACGGTGTGCGATGGTGGCGGTGGCACAGACAGAGGGCAGAGGCCATGCTTTGGTTTAGGTAGCCGTGGATCGTTATTAAAATCTAAGGATTAATCTCTTAAACGGGTAATTGAATTGGGAAATTTATTAAACTAACATTCCAAAAGAGTTATTTCAAGAAAATAATTATATTTTTAGTTTTTAGAAAATGATTATTTAAGTCCCAAATATAGTATTTCGTTAAAGTTATACTGGAGTTGGTTGTGGTTAGCGGAAAATTTGTCCGAAATATGACATTTGTACATTCCGAACTTAATAGTGCATTCTAGATCCCGTGTTCGGAATGTATTCTGGATCCCTTGTTCGGAATGTATTCTAGATCCCGTGTTCGGAATGTTCAGACATTCTAGAGTAATGTTTCTGGAGTGCTAATATCACATTCTAAAATGCATGTCATGGCGTTAGATGCAACTCCGCAACTTCGAAAAGCCTCATGGGCGACGTTGTTAGGCGTGAAGCTATGAAATGTCATGGCGCGATTTTCATTTTTTGATACATGTTTATTGTTCTTTGTTATGTTTTTCCGGATCATTGGATAACCACTTAGTTTTTGTAAACTTTTTACTATTAGTTGTTGATATGATATTTGAAAATCTTCAGAAGAATCCTTATATTTTAATCTCATATTCGGTTAAGTCCTTATATTTTATTTTCTTATAATTAAGCCAAAAAATAGGCAATTGTTTATAGTTATGTTTCAAAAATTGGCAACTGTTTATATTTTTAAGTTTTTTATCTAGATAAACTAGTTTTGGTTTTTATCCTGATAAACCCATATTTTTTGGTCACTAACCGAGTATGAGTGTTTTTTCACAAATATAATCATAGATTAAACGTTTGGACTAACTATTATCTAATATTTTATATTTGAGTCACTAAGTGCATTTTTTGTATTAGACTAACTTAAATTTTGATTATATTTCTAAAAAATCATTCATATTCGGTTGGTGCCTGGTTACCAGGGTAAAACCCCAAAAATAATCAGTTTACCATAATAAGAAACCCAAAATTGTAAACAATTGTCAGTTTTTTTGGGACTTAATTATAAACAATTATTAGTTTTTTGGGCTTAAATGTAACAAAAAATATAAGGACTTAATTGAATACAATATCAAAATGTAAGGACTTTTCTAAATATTTCCTTATAGCATTTCTAAAAAATTGATATATTTGAACTTTGGTTAACACTAGGGTATTTATGTTGCCATTGTTGTTGCATAAACCATATACATGTAAGGTTAAGGTTGTTGTAGGAGGTAACAAAATTTGTAATCTTTTACCTATGACATATAATCATGTTCCTTCATACAATGGGCATGTACAAGAGGGTGATTTTAGGTATAAAAGTAAGGTCGTTGATGCTGATGCAAAATTTGATGTTGATAAATCTGCAATTGATCACGCAAAACTAATGATGTTTGTTGATGATAGTAATATAATTCCACACGGAGACCCAATAGAACAGTTTCAGACTTTCTCTGGATTTTTTGGGGATGAGAGTGAATCTAAAGAAAAAAGTAATTAAGCACTGAAAAACCCCACATGAAAAGTACCCTTATTATTTTTCAGATTCTGGAGAAACAAAAACTGCTAATTGGGGGATACATGAACCTTTACCATTTCTCGGATTATCATATCAAAATCATAAAGGTTCTATATCACACAATTATTCTGCATATGTGATCTTGTTTCAATTGTTCTAAAGCAAAGAACAGCTTAATTTTTTTTAGAAGCAGTCATATATTAAAAAATACTAGCTAAGAGATAGAACAAAGAACCAATTACAAAATATTTAAAGGTTATTGCAACCAACAAACCTAATTACTTGGTTATTTTAAATTCCTACTACTGCACCACAAAAAAGTAAAATGTCTAATAGAATCGAAAATCCCATCATTTCTCAACTCCTTATCTGCAAACAATAAAGCATTCATGTAGTTCCAAATATACCATAAAAAAAGAAGAGCTTATGCTTTATTTGGGATTCAGATGTGTTAACAAAGCCTTTCAAAATAGATTTAGCAAATCTACAATAGACAGGTTTGAAGATGTTTTCTTTGCAAAAAAAAAAAAAGTGTAAACGACAATTAAGGACAACAAAAGATAAAGATACTAATTCATTTAAAGTCCATGAAGTATTAGAAAACACACTTACTCAAACACATAGCTTCATCTCCATCATCTCCAAGACAACAAGAAATTGTTGGATCACTTCTTAAAGTACATATTACTTATAGTACAAGGAATATGCTATTCCGAAAGAAAATCAAACGAACTATAAAATAAATATTTTAGTTTACATATTTTGTACTGGCAAGCATAGAGTGCCAAAATGTATGCTCTAAATATGTTAAGAGGGAACCATGAAGAAAGCTTTAAAAGACTTCCTTTATATTATTACAATTTAGAAGAAAAAAAATCTGTGAACCGTTACACACATAAAGACAGATGAAAACAACATATTTGAATATATTTTTTCTCCCTTATCAATTGCGTGGTAATATTTATTATGTACTTTTTTTTACTTGTTATACATGTATTTGCTCTAATTTCTAATATATTATATTATTTTGTAATTTCAAGCATTTCAAACATGATCGTGTCCTATTATTATCATTAACGGAGCCCACCTAAAAGGAAAATACCTGGGAACTATGTTCTTAGTAGAAGACATAGACAACAATAATGAAATCCTTTTAATAGCATTTGGTGTTGGAAAAAACAGAAAGTGCGGAACCATGGATATGGTTTCTGCATCAAGTGTCTATCGGGGTTGTCTATTATAGATTTTCGGGGTGCCCTATCGGATTGATCTGATTCCCATCCCTATGGGGGATGTATGCGTGATTATAGGGATGTATTGGCTTAGTAGGTTTGGGGCTATGATTGACTGCGAGGGTCAATGGGTAGTAGTTCAAACCCTAAGTAGGGGAGAACTAGTCATTTATGGAGAGGGTACTAGATTGGGATCAGCCTTTTGTTTTATTGCCAGAGCTTGATAGTATATTCAGCATGTATATATGGTTATCTTGCTTATGTGGTTGATACTTAAGTTGGGAAGCAGGCTTCGGTTTCAGATGTGCCAGTTGTTAGAGAATTTGTTGACGTGTTCTATAGGAGTTGCCTAGTGTGCCTCCGGAGAGGCAGGTTGAGTTTATGATTGATTTGGTTCCAGGTGTGGCTCCAACTGCTAAGGCATCGTACCGATTAGCACCACTGGAGATGCAGGAGTTGTCCTCTCAGCTTCAGGATCTATTGGGCAAGCATTTTATTAGACCCAACAGTTTTCCGTGTAGTGTGTTATATGATGTTTTTAAAAGAGCTATTTACATTATAATTTTTTTGGAATTATGCTCACTGCAACAAATATATATATATATATATATATATATATATATATATATATATATATATATATATATATATATATATATATATATATATATATATTCCAACCAAACAGTTAGATTAAATACTTTCATTAGACTAAGGATGTAATGGTTTATCCTTATCTAAAAGGTATAGAGTTA